AAGAGCATTGTAATTATAATCAGCAAATAAACCCCGAAACAAATTGTGACAGAAATATACGGGAACATCCAATGACTTAATTCAAACTTTACATTGAAGTTATAAGGTCAGTGATTACTTATCCTTGACTTTAACATATTATTGCCTGTGCCTTTTTTAAACAAAACTAATAGTGGTGGCATTTCTCAAGGTTGGACATGTGAAAGTCACTACTCCAAGCACCAGAAAAGACAAGGAATGAAGAGAGACAAGGAGTTAAAATATGCAGTTTGTCTAAAATGCAGCTCTAATCATCATAACGTATTCTTTAAAGACGACCCAGGCCAAACATATGAGTGGCTGTGAAATACAGGAATTTAATCCTTCAAAGTTTTCTAGATGTAATTACATTTGGAAAGTTTCTTCTGTCTACTATGCAAAATACAGGAAATTAAAATACTGAAATTAATAACATGAGATTAAAGGAAATTTTTATGTTTAATGGAAGATCTTGATGTGAAAATCCAGCATGCCATTTGCAAGTCCTGAAATAATCTTACAGTCTTTTCCTGCTGTAGGCATTAATTTCAAAACTTGTTTTCATGCTATCAGTTCTAGGTCAGCTGAACGTCTATCAGCCTTAAACAATCTATTTGCTCTGGCAACTTTGTACTTTCCCTGTTTCTCTGCAGAGTGTGGACGTAATAAACTGGTGAGGATTACCTGTGAAGCATATGCAGGGAGATTACAAGCTGAGGTTCACTAGTCGTCTGAGAACGGATGAGCTTGCTCTTCGTTTGGGCAGAAACGATAGTGCCATCAGACAAGGAAAACCGATAGACAGGACTAAACGCTAGTCCCTGCCTCAGCACTGCAAGCAAGCAAAATAACAGAATTAATTAGTGAGAAACTGTAGCACAGGTACCTTAGTTCCTTGACATCTGATGTTCTAAATCAATCAGCACTGATACCACAGACACTGCGTTAATTTAAAAAAATAAAATAAATAATAATAATAAAAAAAACCAAAGCAAAAATTTTGAAAATATATCAGTGGGATAAATATAAAATAAAGGATCCCACATACTGTAAGGTGATCAAAATAAAACCTATAAGGAGTGACAGCAACAACAGGACAGATACTATGAAATACAGAATATTTCAGGAGTGGACCGAGAAGTCCTTGATATCCATTTCACTTTTCATCAAATATGTGTCTAACTGCTTTTGTTCCTCGTAAGTTTTTTTTCATCTGTATCAGCTTACATCACGATGATTAATATAAATACCTTTAATTTTGAAATCATCTGTTTCCATTAGCCTGTATCTTTTCTTCTTTATTGCCTGCTTAAATTATCTTGTAACAGTTACTCTCACTACTTCTTTAATTTATAAAGTATATAAATCTCTTACATGGGAATTAGAAATAAGAACTGGAACAAGACATTATTACTTTTTAAAGACAAAATACAAAAATATAGAGCTCAAACACATTACAAATACAATTACTCAAACCAAAATTGCAGCTGTGCTATCCTTCCCCATGCAGTCAGTTAGATATGACTGCATTTCAGGTTTGGGATTTACTTCAGCGCACATATTCTGCAGCCCTTAAGTTTTCAGTGTAAATCTGAACTTCAACAAATTCAGTTCTCTAACTTCTGTAGACACGTGTGACATTTCTTTAGCTAAAATGAAAATCATTTTACAGAAAAGCAAATCTCCAAACATTTATTCTACTGTTCACTCTTTGCCACCAGTGAAACAAGTCTGATCATTTGCAATTCCTAGGCCAAAAGGTATTAGATTAGGATTGCAGTTATGGCAGAAGGGAAATACTTAACTTCAGAATTTTCGTATAATTGTTTCGGGAAAAAATAGGCATGAAGCACTACAAATACTTTTAATTTCCTATTTTTTCATACATACACATTTTCCATGGGTTTGGTTTTCTTTTTTTTTTTTTTAATTAATGGTATCATCTGATCTTCATTTCATTGCTTGTCTTTTAATACTTCCTGTTGTAATGAAATGACACGGTTTTCCGAGTGTGGCTTTATTAAATAGTCTCCTCTACAGAGCTACCAGATTTTCAGCCTTACAGGACTGGTTATGATTGCTTTCCTTCCCTGTCCCCCCTACTGTTATATATTGTTCTGCAAGGTTTTAAAGTATTATTTAGGCAGTGAGAAAACAGGAAGCACAATTTAAACAACCAGAAGGGGTTTTTCAGAGTAAAAATGTAAAGAAAAACAAAACCCCACAACTGTGAAACAATACAAAGCAAAATTTCACTGTTAGGTATGTCATTGTTTCAGTTTAACCTTTGGGCACCAGAAGGTCCAAAGCTCTTAACTTTAGCATATACCACAGCAGGAAATTCCAGTACTCAATGCCAACAGGATACAAGTGAAATCTCTACTTAAATCATTTTCCAAACTAATTCTCTAAGCAAACAAGAATGTTTCCGTATTCCTCTTGAGGAAATGCTATTTTTCTGACTGTGGCCAATAAAAACTTACCATATATTTTGCATCTTATACCAAGAGTTAATTAGAAAGCTTTGCGTTTTTTATTGTTTATCAAGCTAATGCTGACATTTTTTTTTGCACTGTAACACTGAACTACACGTAGGACACTGTTACTTACTTTGCTTCTATTCTCAAACTATAATGACTTAAAAAATGCAAAGGGTTCCTCAGTGAACTGCAAAGGTGCTACTGCCCAAGATTTGCCATATTTGTCTTCTCCATGCTACAGGGCAGGGGAAGGAAACATTTCAGCCATTATTCCTCTCCAATGCTGGATCCTTTGCCACAAAGCAATTCCAGGATCACTTGCTCTCTTCACTTCTACAAGGAGAGCTCCCTCATCTAGACTAATGCTACGTCATGATCCTCAGCCCTTCCTGCAAAACGATCCAGTGTAAACTTCAAAACACGACTAAGTTTATCACTTCACAGATAGCTTAGAGAGGACCCACTCAAACCTCAGCGCTGGATGTAGGAGCTGCTAATTTGGTCAGGAATCATTTGAAGAGGACTGAAGTAAAAAGTGGCTGGATGCCGTAATAGAAACTCCTAAATCACCTCTGGCACAGACAGGTCCTTATCTGAAACTGCCCTCTAGACCCCTGCTGTAACTTTAATTGCATCCTACCTTCTTCAGCTCTGTCTGAATTCACAGCATAAGCCTGTGAACTTTTAGCACTCCTACTGTATATACCCCAAAAGCTGTTATATTAAATGTCACAATATTTCTGGGCCCCCACATTCCCAACATGAAACCTGAAGGTTTAATGAAAGCAGAACATATTAAAGAATATTTAACTAATTTAACTAATATTTAACTAAAGCTTTTTTTTTTTTTTTTTTGCCTTGTGTGGAATAATTTGAAAGTCCAGTTACAGTTTAGTTTCCAATATAGCATGCCAGTTATTTAATGCCCATGGCAACTATTTGTTACAGGCCAGCTGTAAACCCTGTTCTACAAACATGAACCCAAAGTATGATGCTCCTGCACTGAAAATGTTCCAGTTGTTCCCCAATGGTTTTGAAAGGCTTTCCTGTGGACTATAAAGGGTTATTTGTTTTTAGTAATTTGGACCTGTGTTACTAGAATTAGCAGTATTAGGGTTCTATATAAAGAAAAATCCCCACTCAGAAGCTACCACAGAAATCTCATGGGGAACCTTTCACAGTGCAGTATTCTCCTACATCTTACCTACCATAATCTTGACTGAGTAAGATGTGCTTGTGATGTATCCTATAACACTTGTAGAGTACAGCAATGTAGGCTTCCAGATAGCATGAGTGCTGCATCTTTGATCATTCACATTCAGTGTTCCTCACAGAAAACGTTAACAATAAAAGTCCATTTTTGTAGAGAAAAGGAATACAGGTCAATGAACCACAACATGTGAGCTGAGGTTCTGAAGAATAATGGGTAGTGAATGCTTTGGTGAGCAACACACAAGGGTCTTTCTTTTTAAAATAATTGTGACAATTTGAAGATTTAACACAGCCTCCAGTATGGCACAGTTACAACAAGCAGGCTAAAACAAACAGGGACGAAAGTGCAAAACCTGTCTAGAGCCATCAGTGTGTTAGGCAAATGAGCTTGAAAAAGGGATTGTCAGTAGCCCTTGATTGTTCCACAACAAAGAGAACACAACCAACAGATACAAATGACAAATAGTTTAAACGTAGGAAGTGCTAAATATATGAAACCTAACCTTCCTGGTGATGCCTCTTGGCAAAAGATATTTCTCCCTCGTGCTGTGAATGGAACCTCTGAATGCATCTTCTCACCAAATCCTCCCAGCCAGGTTTCATAGCTGCTCGCATGGTACTCGTATCCAGTGAAGTTATTTTGCCTGATATTAGAAAAAACATTTATTACAGCAATTTCCCCTTCAAGGGGAAAAAAAAAAGACATGAAAAACTTCTAGTTCACAATACCTTGTAGATCCTGGCGAGTAGTAAAGCTCTCTGATGAAGGAAGAAGTGGTCTTTCCTTCATTGGCGCTCTTCTTGCAACACAAATCAAGCAAGACTGCAAATCTTAAAGAAAAATGTTACTTCTGTAGTTTGTATAGAAGAGGAAGATCTTGCTTTCACAAAGAATTCAGAAACATTTTTACCACTCAGGAGTTAAATAAAAAAAAAGGATATACTGCATGGACAGAAAGCACGTTTCTTCAGCACTCACCATTTTGTACCTTCTAAGCCACATTTCTTAAACATGCCCCAAATGCTTGATGTCCCTGAGAAAGCAGCTTCATAATAAGCCATTTTTACTTATCTGAATACTTAAAATACAATCTGAGGAAATTTACCTGCTTAAGTAATAAATGGTAAAGGAAACGGTGAACCACAATTGTCTTCAAATTCTAAGAACTAAAAAAATTGCTCATTGAAACTTTCCTTCCAGTCAGCTACTTTCTTCTTACAATTGCAGCGATACAAAACTAGGGTATCTCATTAATGGAAACAGAGTCACTCTCAACTTCTATTATATTGGTTTAACAAATAGGTGCATGCGAGTGTATACACTCATAATCCAAGAAAAAAGCACACTTCTACAGTTAAATGAAAAAGAAAAAACCTTCAAATTTTTTCCATTTTTTTCAGGATCCAGAAGCCACTTTATCAACTTTACCTCATTTTATAAACTGCAGTGAAACTGCTGTCCTGCAACAGCATGGAAAGAGAAAATACTAACACAAATTGAAAACAGTAATTACCTTCACCGTCCTCCTTGAAGGAATTTGGTTGAGAAACAGCAAAGCACTGCATAGTTTCGTATTTCTGATGTGCTTCCTGGTTATCATGGCCTTCTTCAGAATCAGCAAGAGGTTTTACCAGCATCCGACAATTAAAGGTATGGCTATTACGCCTAGGAGTGTCACCAGACCAAGATCCCCCATTCACTGAGCAAAGCAAAGATCATACAGTAAGATAAATCTGGTAGCAGTCATTTCTGCTGGTTATCCACAAGAAATTAATGAAGGTGCTTTGCAAACTAGTTGGGAAACAAGCTTGTTTAACAACAACAATCTCCTTTTAATATTAGCGCCCAAACCAGCACACAACAAAGTAATTAATAATCTAAATTCTCATATTTTAAGAGCAGTGCTAATTTGTTCAGATATGATGTTTTCTTTCAAGTGACTGATAACAACATAGTAGAAAAGCAGGATAAAAGTCTAAATATTGGTGCATGTAGAAGTTATACAGCACAGTGGAAAGCCTACTGGGTAGATCAAGTTAATTTATATGCCTGGAAGAAATAAGGCTGTATGTAGGATCTGTTCATTGAATTTAAAATTGATTAATACAAAAGAGACAGCGGCATTGCATAATCTGTGTCCAGATTTGAAATAGAAAGAAAGGAAACTAATAGTTCTTTATGAAAACAGGAAGCAATACAATTGGGAATATATTGAAACACATAGTCTCAGCTGCAACGGGAAAGACTGAAGGGATGAGAATGACCTGGGTGCAGTGATGGATAAAACTAAAGCCTAACACAGTGCTTAAGACAAGTAAAAAAGGAAACAAAATCCTGAGATGCACAAATATAGGCACTGGATATCAGTCAGAGCGAATTAATGTAACGTCGCATAAGGAAATAGCAGGGTCTTATTTAAAATACTCTTCACTCACCCTCTTCAGTCAGAAAATGCAATAAAGGCAGTAATTTATGGGGTTTAGCCATTAGAAGTGTTACATTTTTGATTCTTCAGGGGTTTGTAAATAAAGTTATAAAATGCTAAAGTGAATTGCATAATACTTTTAAAACTGCTGTGAGTAAATGAGGCACCCAGTACTGACTTTCTCTTTCTTTTTACCTCCTCCAAAACCCAATGACATAAATGCAAAAATGGCTGCAACTAACAAAAACAGCTTTGAAAGATAAAGGTAAATATTTACCTTTGGTGAGTCTAAAAACACTGAAATAAAAATTCTAGCATAAGGAGTTTTCTGATTTTTCTTTTATATTTCCCCTTTCTTGGGCCATGCTTAGAATAACCAGCCTAGATAGGGAACAGACTTCATATAACTATTGGCATCTTTTACTGTTTCACTCTGGAGATCCCTTAAAAATATCAGTTAACATGAGTTACTAAGAGTAATTTTAACACAGGAGAATCTGAAAAGAGTGGAGGATGCTTTTGAGAATAATATTAATCATTCATACAGTCTATATATTCATGAAAAATAGAGTGTATATGAAACTTTAAGTAGTAGAAGAACATTAACTTAAGTTATTGAAATGCTGATTTATGAAAACAAAATCAAATAAGTAATGGTACAATATGAGGAAAAGGTATATACCTAAAGATTTTGGCAGCAGGATTTTGACAAATTCATTGTGGTCCCCTACATGCAGGATGCTATATATGCTTGTGTTCATCAGCTCTTCTTGGTTGTACCTTAGGTACTGTGTCACATTCTCAGAAACAAACACAACATTACCTTCGGGGTTCACTACAAAGAAGAACCCATCTAGGGCCTACAAGTCGGGGCGGGGGGAGCAGAGAGAGAGAAAGAGAGAAAAACACAATACCAAACAATCAGATTAACAACAAGATACACAGAAAATAAATATCCCCTTCAAAAGACACAGCTGAATCTTTCTGCATCCATCCCAGTTCTTATATTCTTGTCTATAAACAGCAAAAGACATACTTCGGATTGAGTATCTAATCTTACTTTTATCAGATGAGTGTAAAAGCACAGAAAGGTGCACAGCTTACAAAATAATGAAACCCGCACATGAAAACAAACCACCACCCCCTGCCCCAAACAAACAAAAATAATGGAAGAGGTTGCTACCTATCTGCCTGCCTATGAAGTAAGAAACCTGGACCAGAAGCTGGTTCTGCTAAACCTAGAGCCTGTTCACTCCTCTATGCAGCACAGGGAGACTGAGCCAAGGAAAACATGCCAAGATGTGCTGGCACAAGGCAAGGAAAACACTGGCAGAAAGAGAAAGGCCCTCTCCCCGTCCCCAGCAGCGCATCGTCGTTCCATAGAAGTGAGGTCCCATGCAGCCAGGAGCGCGAGGGGTTAAAAGCAGAGATGGGCAAAGGTAGCTGAGAGCAGGCACTGAGCAGCGAGGATGGGGCAGCTTTAGTCCCTACTCCCAAGACTCCTTTCATTTTTTTATTTGACACCAGCTTAATTCAGTCCACACATGATCCAGGGAACAGGAACCAGATTTTCACCTCTTCAAATCAGCTCCATGGTATTCCAAAGGAGTTAAAAGTTTCTGTGAGGAAGTGTCTAAATTCGTAATTTCTGCTGATTGGTTTCCCCCATCTCTCCTGTGATGGTGACAATCTAGCTGCAGCATTCTTTCCAAGATATTTACTGTACATTATCTGAAGCCTAAGCCAAATGCTACATCACTTCTACCTGATGAGGATAAAGTAAAATTTTGTGTGTCAGTAAGAACTTCTCATGCAAACTTTTGTTTCCTTACGATGCAAGCATGATTGTGCATGGTATGAATATTTCAGAATACATCCCTCTAACTTTATGTCATATGAGCAGGTAAGGGAGGGATACATTTAAACTTAAAGCACCAAAGCTTTTGGTCTAAGCACTCAAATACAAATTAACCCCTACAGACTTCTGCAGCGTTGCCCGATTTATTCACCCCTCTAAGGATTGGTGGGCGATCACTAGAACAGCTGTTAGTTATTGCATCTCCAGAGACAGAAACAAGTCACAAAAGCAGGCAACCTGTGATTCATTACGGGTTAATTAAAAGCGAGTAGATCCATACTAAACCTGAACTCAACTCACTGCAAAACAGTCTAACAAGGAGGAGCTGCCATAGCAAGCACATACAGGTGTGTGGCACTCTTGGTATGACCACACTTGTATGCTGCACAACTCGCGTGTTGGTCTTAGCAGGCAGTTCTCGAGTCCTCAGGCTACAGATACATACTAAAAGTGTTGTACACTACTGAGCGGTTAGCAAATCCAGATAGTACAATAGTACAAAAGAGAAAGCTAAGGAGGGATCTTATTTCTGTCTTCAACCACATAGCAGAAGGCTAAAGAGAAGACAGGCTCTATTCAGAGGTTGACAAGGGAAGAAGGAGACACAAGAGACACAGAGTGCAACACAGGAAACTTCATGGAGATAGAAGAAAAAAAAAATAATTCACCTTGAAGGTGAAAGCTCCAGAGGCCCTTCCCAAACTACATTAGTTAGTGATTCTGCTAAAGGAGAGGGATACTGAAAGCATAATACACGAGCAGAGTGGCTGAGCTAATGGTTGCCAAACGCTTTGTTTGTTCTATTTTTAAATTACTAAATAATAAACCCCACAAATAAATGTATAAGTATATACCTTTCCTGACTGCCTCTAAATTAAGATAAACTAGGTCTTTTTTTCTCCTCTTAATTGTCACAAATTCTGATCTCTGTTTTTTACCATTGCTGGTTTTTTGTGTCTGGTCATTCCTGGTTCCTCCTGTTAACTCTCTCTCTTTGGAGAGCTCCCTCCTTTCCGTGTGCTGTCGTAATACTCATGACATTTTCCTGCTGCCTAGTATTTAGTTTAACTAACAATGATTTACAAGATTTAATTAATTGAGGCTCTAATAGAATTTTCTATCAGCATCTCTGCTATGGATTAGTGTCTTAGACTGCATTTCATCACTGCTTGAAGCCAATGTAAGCATGACCTCTTTGGTTGAGTCCTCTCTACAACATGACAGCTCCCTGTACTGTCTGAGGACAGGAAGAGCTGGACCAGAGAACTGAGTTGGCTGAAAACTAATGCAAGGAAAAAAAAAAAAAAGATGGTAGCCACATCAGTCCCCTGAACTGGCCCACCATGAAACCACATGGTGTTTAGAGCTGGCAGAAGGGTGTGGGTTTGGCTGAACCGTTCTGCTTGGCACTGGTCCACGCTTACATCAATTCAAAGGGACTGCAGAAACCAAAGCCATAGCAGATGTTTATTGGAGTCCTAAGGAGAAAACTTTCAAAGGCAGCGATGGCAAGCAGGAGATTATGAGAGTTACTGGCATCCCACAGTAATCTTCAGTTTTCCCTGCTATTTCCTGCTATGGCAACTTCTGTGGCGAGGAAGTGCTCTGTGCTGCTTCCTCACAGCTGCTTCTTGGGTTGACCACAGAAATGGTCAATTGAGCCTGGAGTAACATGGGCCTTATATTCCAGTCTCCCATTTCTTTCTATTCTACTAATAAAAGAAACTTGTAGGTAAGCAGCAGCAGGCTTTTGAGCAAGTTAATGCACCAAGCCACTTAAATCTTTTAGAAGCTTCCACTTTTGCAAGAATTTCTTAATTCTGTCCCCAGATGTATGCGGCCACAATAAACAACTAAAACAGCAATGAAGGTCAGCACACTTTTCTTCAGAGCTGTTGGGACAATGGGGAACAAATAATGGACAACATGCTGGAAGAGAAAATAAGAGAACAGATAATACTTTAGATGATATACTGCAGTGGAAAATACATTTTTGTTCTTTGAGCTGTTGTCAGCTCTCTCTTGACTATTTTTTCACCCTCTCTTCCTATCTACTTTCTGCTTTAACCAAGAAATATGTTAAAATATTCCTCAGAGGCAGCTGCATGATGAATTTTACTCACTTTCTTCAGCTGGGAACACTCACTATTCTGAGGATTCTTCAGTTTTATTCTTTAATAAAAACAGACAATTACATTTCTAAACCAAGTCAACTAATAAACTGTTCATCAGCATTACCATTTTTATTATTATTTGGAAATGGAAAAGGGTAGGTTTTTGAAGAGTTGTATAAAGGGGTTCTGTAAAGATGGAATAACTTAGTTGTATTTCTTTAAGGAGATAAAGACACAAAGACAGTATTTGTAGTCTTTTCACTACAGCAAACAAGCAACTTTCAGTCCTTTTAAGTTTCTTGGTACAAAAGGAACATGGTTTATTAATTTAGTTCCACAATCTTTCATTGTTAATATGCAATGGTTTTACTGCAAAGGAAAACTAAATTAAATGGAATAACGGAACAGACGGGTGATTTTACATGTCATGTTTGCTTCAATAGCCAATCATGCAAGATAAGCCGCGAAAAAAAAATCATCTTATCCTTATTTTCCCTGTGATTAAAACAGGTCCTTACAATTAAATTAATAGGAAATTAAAGATAAATTTTAACATAGCAATGTAAGAGATGGATGTTTAACTTTGTTTGATAGCAAAAACAATGTTCAATTCAGTGAGTCCCTATACTAAATATTAAGTTAAATAAATTAATTTGTTACTCCCACTTTTCAAAGAAGGATGTTTTCACTCCAACCTGTCTAATCTTCCTTATATGTAGTACTGTGATTTTCAAACCTTTATTTCGTACATAGTACAGAAAACTATGTTTTAACCTAAAAACCCTGAAAAATAATGCAAATACTTGAAACTGTTATAATATGCATCTTGTTCCTGCAACATTCAGAAATGACGGAATAATTATGCTTCTGCCAAAGTTGGTTGCTTTAGCTTGATTCAGAGTTTGTGTTTTGCTTTATCTAAAGTAACATTTATTCTTCCTTACAGGAAAAGCCCACAATCAGAATAGGAATAAACAGTTTGCAAGTGAGCTTAAGCAGATAAAGCAGTAGTGCCAAAGGACAGTAGCATATGACATTAGGATCCCAGATAACACACCTACCCAACATTACTATTAATACATTTAGAAGCTAACCATGCGGCCTTTTGGGGTATCAAAATAACAGCTAAAATCAGACAGAAATCTTAACCGAAGAAACTGAAATATATGGCCTGAAAAGCTCTCTTAGATTATTTTCATACTCTAGAGGGAAGAGTCATGCTGTAAATGCTGAAATGATAAACCATTAAAACAGTATAGCGATGACATGCAATTTTATGGGAAGTATTATTCATGAGTATAGTACTGTATATGTAAGTCAATGTTTAGGTACAACAGGTCTTCCAAATCTGTGGTGGTTTAGAACAAATAAAACATGCACATGCAGACACCCAAGACATGCTACCAACTGAAGTCCCGCAAGTTGTCTGCTGTGTTACAAAGCAGCTGAATTGTCCCTTTCTCTGCCTCTCCCCACCCAAGCTAGAGAGCTCCATCACTGAATCCGACAGAACTATCCTGCCGGCTCTCAAATGACACAATCCTAAGTATCCAGGATAGCTTGTCTCTCTTGGCCATCCTTGTACCGCAACCCCCAACCGCACTTTTTCATTTCATGATACTGCTCTTCACCCTAGGGGGAGCAGAACTGGCTTAAAGAAAGGATTTTTGTGCTCTTCACCTCAAGCATCATTGGTCCAAGTGCATCCTTGTCGATGACACTCTGACCTGTAGATGATACATCTGCTTTTTGCACTTCATCTTCATTAGCTGCTGCTGCTTTTTCTGCAATAAAGAAAACTATGTATTAAATGGCAGAGCAGTGTTCTTCAAGTGATACAGTAAGAACCCACCAAGTATTCAGTCTAGCTGTGAAACGATTACAGTGAAACAATTCTGAAAATGAGATTAAATAGCCCCCCCGTCATGATTCAACAGAAGCATAACTAATATGCAGGCTTTTCAGTTTTGAAGTTTTATGACACAAATGAAATAAATTTCTTCTGTTTCTCTCCTAGACATTTTACTAATCTACAAAACATAACACTGGGCAATGACAAGGGCTCCTTATGAAGGTGCAACGAGCAAAAGCCAGGATCAAGGTGTAGTAAAAGACTGATCTAAAAGAGCATGCAACGCTCACAGCTGCACAACTTTTCCACGATCGCTATATTTAGAAGGAAAAACACAAGTCTGCAATCTACTGTTTCAGTACTGAGAAACAGCAGCCTCATTTCTGTTCCCATGCCTCCACCCACATTTCTACTATCGCATAATTTTCATACTGCCTTATTTACCAATATGTTACTAAAACTACATACAACTTCAAGTGCTGTATTTGAAAATTACAGGGAAGAAAATAACGACTTAAGGTTTCTGGAGCACAATGCCATATATTACAATATGTTATATACAGCATCACAGATCATACACAACTCCTAACGTAAGGGATGTTCACACATACTGGAATTTTCAAATCAAGAGGGTTTATAATTCCTATCAAGTAATGGACTGTATTAATTTTTCTATTCCAAGAATGATAGTGGTGTTTAAGGAAGAAGTAATAAACGTAATAGAAACGTTATACAAAATACATATTCAACACTAAGTTAATGAAAAGAGTAAACTGTTGTTGCTGTTAGTTCTGTACTAAAAACATTATTTTATTTTTAGTATTATGCAATAGATTATTTTAGTAAACATGAAAGCACACTGAAATTATGATAATAAGAATTTATGCCTTCTACAACAATAAACCAGAAGAAGATTCATTGTAGGAATTACCGAAAGTACCATGTGCAGATGGAGCAAAGGGTCTTTGGAAAACCGCCCTTAGTGAAAATTAAAGCATCAGCCACACAAATTGAAATGTATCCAAATGTACAGTATTTTCCACTATCTGTAGATCTTCAATACTGCAGCCAAAGTTCCTCTGAACTCTTTCCTTGGCAGAGGTTATAAGGTCAGTGTGAATATACACTGCTTAGACATACAGCAAAGGAACTGCTTCTGAGAACCCCTGCGTGTTCTCCTATCAGCTATCACCCGCTGGCAATAAGGCTTTGGTCACTCGGGCTGTCTCATCCTAGATTTCTACGGTTCCTTGCTTTCATGAAACGAGAGTCACAAAAATCTTAGCTGTCTTCTTAGGGTATGTTCATACACAGGATAACACCGTTGTGAATAATGATGAAACTAAATTGTTCTGAAGACGGACTGTTGCCACTAATGGAATAATTTCAAATCACTTTGATTAGTATAATCTGGTAGAAATAAATACAGTAGATATAAGTATTCACCCTTCCTCTGCCACTTAAACTCACCAGGACACAGAATTAGTATTTCTGGTATGGACTGAGGACTGCAGTGGCGTTTTCTTCCCCCATCCCTGCTTCTTTCTTCTTTTGGCAAAAAGCAGAGATTAGGTGTAATGGGAAAAAACTGAACAATCCTTCCCATACTACAATATAGCCGAGTTGGCACCACATGATGATATAATACTGAAAACATGTTCTAAAAATTGTGAAAGAATTCTAAAAGGTTCTAAAAATAGGGTTGAGCTTTTCATAAAGTCAGTGATGATATTTGTTTCCCATCTGTTCCTGGTAGCATAAAATGATCCCTGGTTTCACACTGCAAAATATTATAATGGATACAGATACCAGCTTCCTGCTTTCATCCTTTCACTGCTTCAGCCACTGATACCATCCCGAGTACTGGAGAACATGGGATTATTCTCTATGTGCTAGAAATGGAGGGGCTACAGATATGGTACAGCAACAGTGTGCAAGCACGTTCACTACCCAGTATTTTGAGGTTTCATTGATTCAAAGACTCCTTTTAGTGATTATTTTTCATATAATACAAAAAATTTGTTGAAGATTTTTTTCACTCTTACAACCATGGAGTTCATATAAACCACCAATAAGGTATCTATAAAAACAACTGTTCTCATTTATGCACACAGGCGAGGTTTTATACAATGAAAAAGGAGAAAGGTTTTAATTACTATAACGGTAATCAACACAGAAGCTGCAATACCATGTTCAGACCAAGGATCTCTCAAGCCTCACATTCAGCCCGTGACAGCAGCTGCTTTCCCTTCTAGTTCCCCATTTTTCCATTTTGACCCTTTGATCCCCGGCCACTTCTGTTCCATCATCAGCTGTCCCTCACATTCGACCTCTCCATTTTCTTTTCTCTTAGACACCCTTTTCCACAGAGGGCCCAACACTTTTGTGGGATCAATAAACACAGTGCTTGCTCAAGGAGAAAGTGTGATGAATGGAGAAAATATGAAAATCCTGTTTAGACGGTGCCTACCTGCCTCTCGTGATGGTGACAACATACACTACACTACTCATCATGTTTGGTTAGGCATTCTGAAAAGCTTTATAAATCACAAGTGCTCCAAAATTATAGACTTCATAATTGGATCTGTAACTTAATTGTGTAAGAAATTAAGTGGCTGGAGAGCTTGGAAGAGGCTACACATTCAGGCCACAGGTCCCTATACGTTTATTTAAATGGCATTGTATAGGAAACCATGGCCTCAGCCAGCCTCTGAGTAGCACCAGCAGTAACTTATGTCAATGCTATAAACTGCAGCTACTGATAATGTTAAGCTGCGCAGTGAATTATCCATTTCTGGCTGAACTACAAAGCCCCTCATGAAGACTCTATCAGCACCTACAGGAAATGTAAGTGCAAACCCTGTCAGCAGTGTCGTCCTGACAGACAGGCACGGGGAACGTCTTGAAACGCAAATCTTTTCTTCAGTGATATAGCACGTGGGGCTAATCGAGAACAAAAATTCATTGCAGGAAGGTTGGAAAAAACCAACAACCAATACATGAACTTCTGGTGCCGACAACAGTCATGTATTTATCACAAGTTGGTATTTTTTGTTTTTCTTAACAGTTCCAGCTTCTGGTGTTAAGTAGTGGTGCAAAAATGTAAAGTTTACTTTTCCTTTTTTCACTTCTCCTATCTTTTTTAGGTTCACTGGGGGCCCTACAAACAAATGAAAAGCACAGAGAGTTTATTATTTCTACACTAGATTAATGATTTTTGAATGTTAGGGGTTAGGAAAATAGCTGCAGAGGCCCAACCTTGCAAAGCCTCTCAGAAGCCCTTTCTTCCAGCCCCATGGGAATTGCTGGTATTCCTAACCACAGCCGCTACATTTTTCCGCTGCGGCCACTAACACGGAGAGCGGGAGCCGGTTCCCCGATCTCGCACCTTCTGGCCACGCGGCCTCCTAGAACAGCGAAGCCCCTGTTCAGATGTAAAACGCTGGGCAAGTGTTACCAGGCATCCTACGGGCACGGCGGCAA